AAAATGCATCATTGTGACTATGCTCTCATATCCAGAGTAGTGCATGTTTTTGGCCAGGTTTTCAAAGGTGCTGAGGCTGTGTGAATACTACAGGAGGCATAAGGGTGCATATTTTTATTAAAGTCTCATGAAAAAAGGCAGAGAAAATTAGAAACTCTGAAAAAAATCTTTTTTTTAAATAATTTTGCTGATCTCGAAAAGATAAGTTACTCTCCAGAGAAGTACTCAGCCAAATCTGTTCATCACAAGACATATTTACTTTTAATATCTAGTACAGGGCTATTATTGCTTCATCAGCTGAGAGCTTGATGGTCAAGATCTCAGACTTGTTCCTACATTGCTATTCCAGCACTAAATAAAGCGTAGTTGTCCATAATGTGTTTTTTGTTTCCAGAGATCTGGCTCTGTATGCAACCCAGTGTCAGAAAACAACCATACAATCATAAATTTGTGATCAGCAAGTGTCTAGAATTTAATGTAATAATATTATTTAAAACCCTTTCTGAAATAGTTGTTTACTTACAGTCATAGGAAAGATGTTTGTGTAGAAGCAGAAGGTTCAAATATATAGGAATATAAAGACCGCTTTGCATTTTAACGTTGGTCATTAGGTTTGCTTTTGCTCCATGAATGGCTTAAATTCAATTCAATCTTTCTTAAATATGTTGAACAGAGAGAATTCTGAAAGAGCAGAATGTAATAGATCAAATCATACGTGCTGGACTTTTTCCTCTTTGCATGATAGTGCTTTGGTAGTTACTGGAGTTACATAGTTCAAGCTGAAATCTTCCAGTGCTGCCCAGGAAAGGAAAATTTCTTGAATGGCATTGCCTGTGTAGACATGCTGTTATTTTTATCCTAATAAAAACTCAGCTTTCCTTATTTCCCCCTTGTGATTGCAACTTCTAGTTACATCGTGCATTTTAAGAATATGAAGGATAAATCCTTCATCCGTACCCCTTTGCCTGTGATTTCTTAGGATTGATCTCTGTATCAGTTATTGAAAGCAGAAAAGAAGGCAGAATTCAAATTTGTTATCAGAGATCATCAATATTAGTTCTCCTTGGTTTTGCCATGATCTTTCATTAAAATACTCACCTGTTCTGATCTGTAAAGTAGTGTTTCTTTATCAGTATCAAAAAAGCTTTATGAACAAAGCTTGCCTCTGTTTCTAACTGGTTCTGTTTTCTGACCGAGTTCTCAAAATTTAATTTAATTCTTCCTCTTTTTTTTTTTCTGAACCAGGTGTTATTAGCAAGTGGTGGTGTAGGGTGAGAGTATTAGAGCAGCTTTTCACATTTTATCAGCTAATGCTGTTTTCATGTTAAGTCCAATGGTGGATAACCTTGGTTTCTAAAAAGACCTTTTTTAGTTTATGCTAAACAGCTTTTTTTTCTGCTTAGCCTATACACAGTGCCCTTAGATGTTTTATGTAACCATTTATAGTGTTCTGTAATTGCTGAAGTATCTTTATTTCAGTACAGCATGTCTGCCAAATACTCTGACTTGTTGAGCACATTGGCTCCTGGCCACAGCTTCAGAGATGTTTCTTTTCTTGGATTTACATCTAGCTCAAGTTATATTTATTAAATAAATAAATAAATCCCATTTAATAATCCAGTATTTATTCAGCGCTCCAAAGGACTGCTCAAGTGTTGAAACTGAAAAATGATTTAGCTCAGGGCCTGAGCCTGAAAGATACTGACGGTTCTTGTGCTTGGATGCAGCAGCGGCCACTGGGGTGCATGGCAGGTGGAAGCATGGCTGTAGCACACAGCCAGGTGAAGTTCAGTCTTGCTGGTTTGGTCATAATGTCAGCGTAACCACAGCAGTGCAGGCCGTGTAAGCCAGCCTAGGATTTGATGCTTACATGGTTTCCAGAAGTTGTGCTGCTAAGAGCTGTTTCAGTCCTAGCCAGCTTGGGTATGTCAGCATGGGCTGTAGATTGAACTTCAGCCTTTGCTATGGAGATGTATCTAAAGATCTTTTCAGCCACAAAAATACAGTTGCATTAGGGGTGGAATAAGGCATTTGTTTAAAAGCTATGTACCTACCCTGTACAAGGTGAAGAAAAGTGGATTTTTGCCTCCAGCTAAGCAGAATCCTGCCTACGTTGGGCATACAGTACAGGCATACAGTTCAAATAGCAAGCTTTATCAGTTTGACACTAATCCTCGTATGACCCTTTGCGCGCAGACCCATGCTGACCTGGAAGTTGAGAGAACACTTTCCACATACTCAGTCTCTGATCTCAATCTTTAATGTACCTGAACCTGTCTTGGCTCATCTACCTTCACTTGTCACCCTGGGTCACTAGTAGTGCATTTCTGTCATGCCAGGGAAATGAGGTCTGACTGCATGATCTGGCTCTAAGAATGTAAATCCACTGTCCTGGCCCCGGAGACAAAACTCCTGCTGACAGTTAAAGGCAGCCTGCCATTCCCTGGGCTGGGTAAGCACCTGCTGTCAGAAAATAAACCCAAATTTTTTTGGAGGTGTTAAACTATGGGCATACTCCACAGTCCATTTTTCCACCACAGCGCTCTATCCCCTCTTTTTGCAGCATTTAGGAGAAGGTGCTCTTTAAAGAAAAAATAAGGGAAATGGTCTAAAGATTGGTGCCCTCTCCTGGCTTGTTGGCTTATCATGTGCCCCAGCAGTCACCTCCTTTGTGAAAGAAAGTGATACGCAGTTTCTTATAAGTAATTGCTTAACAGATAATACTTGGTTTTACATGGGGAATCAATACTTAGAAACTTTCTTGAAATGCTGCTGGAAGTCTCACACCACTAAGCCACGCAGTATAAACCCACATTTTTTATTTTGAAAACCAAGTGTCCTTGGTTTTCACCTAATGATGATAAAATAACATCACCTAATTATGTTGCCGTTTCTTTCATGTTACTGATTGCAGCGTGCAAGGAAGAAAGGTCTTGAGTGCTTTTGTGTAAGAAGCTGGCTTCACCAAGTATCTGATGCTGTTTTTGATACATGCAAGGAATACAGATAAATGACGCTCTGAGTTTTTTTTCCTTTCCTGGTAAATAACAGTGCGGTTCCCAAAGACAAGGACAGGCAATGCTTTAAACTCCGCCAAGGAATTGATAAGAAGATAGTGATTTACGTCCAACAGACAACTAATAAAGAACTTGCTATTGAGAGGTAATTTCATCGATTTTTAAAAAAATCTTTATCTGTTTGATGTTTTGTGTTCTTTCCTCTGAGGCAGCAGGTTAGTAATTGTTCTATGAATACTCCGTTTGTGTAATGTAACACCACACCTCTCTCTTGAGTGGGATTGTGCGGAAGATCAGATTGGTTTGTTCAGCGCATGTGTGGCAGGGGGCACAATACAGGCACAGTCAAATCTTGCACAGATCTGGTTGTGAAATCAGTGGTCGCATCCCCTCTAAATACCCATTTCAAAATCTTTTTTAAAAAACATAGTGCTTTTATTTTCAGTGGCCAGTTTGTATTCAATACTGAGGCTATAATCAGTGATTGAGTTATTTCAATTTGCTTTCCTTTCTTCTCTGTTGCATCTGAGAATATCGTTGTACGTACGCTTTGAATCTGCCACAGTCTGGAATTCTAGAATATGAAGCGTCTGTCTAGGGAAGGGGAGAGCTCACACTTCAAATCTTTCCCTGCTTAGAAATAAACTAGCGGTTTTTGACTACTGACAGAGTTTAGTGCTGCTCATGCTACAGAGAAAAGACACAGCTTCTGCCAGCCTTTGTTGTCTGAAATGAAACGCAGGACAGTGTGGTAAACCAGAGGATGATGTGGAATATACCTGTGTGGGCCAAAAGTCTTTGCAAAATTAAACCATAACAGACAGGTTCTTGCACTTCATCTGATTCTTCTCTGTATCAAAGGGTAAATTCTGTGCAAATATGTCTCCAAAAACAAAAAAAAAATGAAAAGAAGGGAAGAATAATGCAGGTCAAGTTGTCCTGCGGGATAGGGAACCCTTGCTAGCAGTCTGTTTTACACTGTTCTTGCAAACAAAGATAATTGAACAACTTCACAGGCTACCATAGGCAGGGTAAAATCATATTGTAAATCTGCTTATGAAATCTTGCTCGACGTTTTTAATACTGGCTTGACATGCTTGATGCTGCTTTCAAATGTCAAGGTTTGTTGACATTTGTTATTGGATTCATGGACTGCTTGTTATGTATGACAGCAAATGTTTAGATAAGGAATGTTAATGGTTTGTTTATGAGTAAGTCTAGTTTTTTTGCCTGGCTTTGCAGATGTTTTGGCCTTCTCCTTAGCCGTGGGAAAGATGTTCGGAGTGGTGACATGCACCTTTTAGATTTGGTAAGGATCTCTTATTAACAAAATTCAGTAATAATTTTAATTAGGATTGTGCGTGATCTCAGGATAGACAGAAGAGATTTAGACGCTAATGCACACTTGTTGATGGGGATTGATGCTGTAGCTTACGCTATTGAGGGTGAGGCTCTGGGCGACTGGGTTGAATCCCTGCCTCTGCTACAGAGCTAGAATATGACCTGATGCTTGGTCAAGGGAGTTGCCCAATTTTGCAGTCCATTGTGACTGTTCTCAGGGGCCTGAAATAAGAAACATGGAACCTTATTTTTGGAGGTGCTGAATATTAAAGATCTGTGCTTTGAACATAGAAAGTTTTATAGCATACTTATCACTGTAAAAATTGAGGCCTAAGTGGCTTCAAATACAATACTGAGAATTAGTGGGCGCTTTATTTTTGAGACTCACTTTTCCATCTATAAAATGATGATAGAGATCATCTGACTTCACAAGTGTGTTGTGAAAACAAACTTGCTACTATTTATGAAGTACATGCTTGTTACAGTAGTGAGTACCCAAAAAGGTCCAATACTACATGAATAATTTTGCTTTTTACCAGGCTTTGGCTTGCCCAGAAAATAAGGTTGGTGAGAAGACAGACACGCTGAACACTAAAGATAAAATATTGACTTGGTTATTATTAGCTGAATAACATGTGTTTTATATGCTGAATAAAGCTGGATCTCAAGATGTTTTAGAGTAAAATTTATTTTATAAAATAGCTACTTAGGATAACATAAAATACATCTGGTGTATTAAAACTTCATAGTGAAGTAGAAGGTGTGTTAATGTGAAACATCTGCCAAGGGTACAAGTTCAGCAGCTTGTAAGAGAGTGTTCTGATTTAATTTGTTTTCTTGTATTAGAGGCAATGAACTACATCCCCTCAGTTCGTGCTTAAAGCCTTATATGTTTAAATGCTTACCACTCAGGCAGCTGTCATTCAGAGACTGAATGATACAAAATGAGGCCAGAATGACTGGATTGGCTTGGATTTTCCAGAAGAACTTAAAAGAAGCTTGAAAAGATGGGGGTTTTTTTGGTTTGTTTTTTCTGGTTTTTGGTTTTGGTGGTTTTTTTTTCAAGCGGCAACATAAAAACAAAGCCTTTGCAGCTTGGAGTCCTGTCTTTCCAAGTACTTGGCTGCGATCTCACCTACACCTCTGTGAGCTGAAAGTTGCTGTTAAACAGACACTTTCAAAATGAGCTCGTTCTCACTAGACAGATGTTCATACCACATACATATATAACAATTAGTATTAGTTGGCTTCTTTGTATTATCAGCAAGGACACCGAAGATTGCATGGGAACTCTATTCTTTTCTTCAGAGATGATCTCTGTTACAGGACTGTGTCACATGGACTTCAGATGCTTGTCCTTCTCTTGCCAGTGCAGTAGCTCTTTTATGGGGCTGAGACTCCGTAATATAGAGATTTCTTTAATTTAAATAAAAATACATAAACTTACCTTGTTTCCAGGAGTCCATGGGTAAAAGTTCTGATGGGAAATCATACGTGATCACTGGGAGCTGGAATCAAAAATCTCCACACTTCCAGTTTGTGAATGAAGAAACACCAAAAGGTATGAACTTTGCCAGATGTTATCCCTAGCCAGGGCAAATGACTTACGTAGTGGGCATCGGATCAATTCTCTTTTCTTTTAAGGTGAATCCCGCAAAAAGACTTTCTTCATAGTATGGGATATATTCTCAGAAAGTAGGATGCCAGATGTAACATAAAAATCTAAACAAAATGGAAGGCTAGAAGAAAACTCCGGTGTTCAGTAATAATACCTTGTAAGAACTGTATCCCAGTAGGAGGCTGTATAGGTGTGGGGACAGGATGCAGACGCTTTGTGCACCATTAGAGCTTCTTAAGAATCCCATTGAGAATTGCACTAAATGGCTATTGCAGATTTCTTTGCTTAGTTTCTGTGGTCAGTTCAGATTTTTCTCAATCCAAGTTTATAATTAAAAAAGAAGGATTCCTATACCTTGAAAACGAAAGTAAAAAACAGCTGATGCTGCATTGCTCTCTGGAGTCCTGAAGCAGATCTGTCATTACTTCTTTTAAGATGTCAGCTGAATTATCATCTTTTCAATCTATTGTCACAGTTGCATGCCAAAGGTTGGGGAAGTTAATGGGAATTGACTGGGCAAAGTCATAGAAGTCAGCTGCTGGGTACAGCTGGGTACAATCTGCTGCTAGATTGAATGCCATCCTACCTAAAGGACACAATTTATCATTTAGTACCAGAAGAGATCTCATAGGTCACTGAGTCCAGTTGCCTCCTTTTGGAGCATCATATGGTATAGTCATTTTTCTGAATCTCACAGCTGAGATGGTCTTAAATGCTATCTTTAATATGGTGGGACTTAAGTGTTGTCTAAATAACTTCTAAAAACAAAAAACAACTAGAATGTAATTAGGCTAGATGGCAAGAGATCTGCACTGTGGATTTAAGTATACAGATCCTTTATAATGTTTAATGAAGATTTTTTTGATACATTTCAGTGAGATTTGAAAAAGCAAAATTTTTATTCTCTTTAACAAGATCATTTTCTTGGCTTGAAGACTTAAGTTTTCTTACTCTCTAGTGAATAGTGCATAGTCATCTTATTTTCCTGTTTTGAAACTTCTAGGTTTTTGAGATGTTAAATTAGGGAAAAAATTGAATTCTGCAAAAAAGTTTCTTTTGTCCTTTCATGTTACTAGGAAGGAGGTTATGGAATATTTTGTTTGAAATATTTCTTTTAATACTATAGCTTTGTTTTTTCTCTCTAGATAAAGTATTGTTCATGACTACTGCTGTGGATTTGGTGATAACTGAGGTTCAGGAACCTGTTCGATTCATTCTGGAGACTAAAGTCAGAGTTTGTTCACCTAATGAGAGATTGTTCTGGCCCTTCAGCAAACGTAGTTCTACTGAAAATTTTTTCCTAAAATTGAAACAGGTAACACTTCTAAAAATAATTAAATAAAATCTACAGTTAATTTGGGATTTGGCAAGGTTGATTTTCAAATATAACTGTGGTATGGTCAGTTATATTGTTTTGAGACTTAAGAGGTAGGTTTATGGTATAATGCTGAATAAATAGAAACACATTGGAGGTAAAGATGAATTGTAGTTATTAGTGCCTGTTGGCAGATCAGAATTTCCCTGTGGTTGTTTCTCCCTATGATTGGTAAAACCTTGACTAATATAATGTTCATATTTCAACATCTTGCTCCTGAATTAAAGGTACAATAAATGCTCTTCAATTTTAGAAAAGCTATCCTTCATTAAGCTGATTGTTGCTGGCTATCTAAAGTTCCCATAAAAAGCTGGATGTCCTCATTTCAAAGCAAATTTTGACAGCTTTGATGAGGCTGCGAAGTTACATAGAGGCTTATGGATTTTCCAGCCAAATCACAGAAATAAAAGGAACAAAGGATTTCTCTACAAACCAGGGCTATGCTGAGAGTTGCTTGCATAAGGGTATAGTAGGGTAAGTATGTAAAATTAAGGGTTAAGAGAAAAAAAGGCTTTAATATAATCCAGGTGACAATGCTATCTGATATGTCACTAAATTGATTTTATCATAGAAATCCAACATTCTAATTTTTTTTTTTAGATGAGCAAACATCCACCTGAAATTAGAAAAAAAAAGTATGTTTTGTGAAAGTCTATTTTCTCCCTTGTACATGGTTGGAAGCAGAGATTTCGCACATACCCCAAGTTTTCCCTGGAGAAAAAAAATCCAAGCAACCACAAAAAATCCCTAGAACTTGTTAAAAACTTTTATTGTTTTTTCCAACTTACTTTTTTACCCTATCTACTAAAAAGGAAAGGATTATTTCTGTCCAGGATATTCATAATAACAGTACAAAGCAATAACTTTGTCTCAAAATAAGGCTGGAAAGTTGAAGGTCGAAGTTGCTAAAGAGATGATGTACTTGAAGTAGCTGCCATTCTCCTGCTTTAGGAATTACTGTTCTGAAATGAGAGTCCTGTTTAAAGAAATGAAAATATATGGAAGTAAATAACGATGTGAATGTATGTGCTCTCTCAAGGTTTAATAATTCTGGGCACAGCCCAAAAAAGCAAGGTTGGAGTCCTGATTTCTTGATAAGTGTTCTTCTTTAGAGAGGTTTTGAATGAAATGAGAGGCTTTTCTTAGTTCTTTTTGCACTTGTCTTAAAGTGCTAGCAAATAATGGCATCTTGGTAGTAACAAAGATGAGGTTTACTACGGATTCTTTTTTGTGTATGTCCTATTTTTTATATAAAATATGAATAAACATTTTGGAAACTTTCCTTCAAAATTTCCTTCAAAATTTAAGGTGGAAAAATTCTTCATGGATGATATCAGTCTTTCTATTTAGGATATCTTTGAGATGGAGCATGGAGATTTTGAACAGTTAAGGCTGTTGGGCTATAAATATTCTGCAGCCGCCAAAAAGTGCCTTTTCTGTTTGTCAGTTTAAAGGAAGCTTATCTTACTTAGCTAATTCTGTATCTTTTGTCTTACCAAATTCACAAGCATTGTGACTTATCTTAGCTAATTCTCTTTTTTCCACAGGCACTGTCAGGTTATCCAACTTCCAGTGTTTACTAATGGAAGATTATCAAAATTCATAGTGGAAGCAACAAATATAGAATGTACTGCCTGATAAGCCTGGAAGGGAAACCTGTTTCTATGGAGTCATGATTAGCCTATTAAAAATACAGCTGTGTAGAATTGGCTTATCTTACTTTGGCAGTGTTTCTTTATTCGGAAATGGTGAAAGCAGAGGGATTTTATTTGCTCAGATTACATTCAGTGATTTAGTCATTTTTAGTTTTGATACATTTCTCTTCATTTTTAGTACTCTGAAGGATAAAATTGAGCACTGGGAGCTTAGTGTAGAGTATAATTATAAATCTTATTTTCCTCTTTTCTTCACCTTCCCTTTTCTACTTTCTATTTTTATTCATTTATGAAAAAAAAGTTCTAAATCCTTAGACTGTATCAGAATTTTAGAACCACTTCACAAAGAAAAATCTTCCTTTAAAGGAAAGGAAGGTATCAAAGCATTGAAAATTAAGGAGAAAACAGGGCCACATAATAGATTTTGGGACTCAACAATTTGTGTTCCTGCAGCAATGTATACACAGATATATGACTTGGAAGCATCGCTAAAGACAATTGCTATGGTGGGAAGATAAATATGAACAATTTTTGTTAAAACTCTTTTTGCCGCCATCAGTATCCCCAGAAAGAGAGAGGAATTAGACATAATTTTAAAGATTTTGCTTTTAATTTTCTGCTAATCTTTAAATAAAGGCAGAGTTGCTTCATATTAAGGAACCTTCCTGTCTTAGACCGTTTGTTGGACGCGTGCGTTTACAGCTTTAAAAATCTATGCATTTGTGTCCAGTCTATTTATGGTTGAAAAGATGAGCTACCTATGCATGGCAGACCCGAATGACACTTCTTCTCTATCTGTAACAGATATTTATATCTTTTGGGTGCAGTATGCTTACAGCTTGTTCTAGGGCATTAGGGATAGAAACACTTGCAGGCCTGCATGATGCGTTAACTGTGCTGCAAGGATTGAACATTCCTTACTGTAGAATGTAATGAAAATTGTTTCTCAGCTCTCCTATTTCAAAAAGAGAAGGTAGAGCCTTATGAAGTAATCTGGATATTCTTACAGCTTTTATCAGTAAAATGAAACTTCTTGTTTCCTAGATAAAGCAAAAGGACAGAAAGAATAACTCAGACACATTATATGAAGTTGTGTGCCTAGAAAGTGAATCAGAAAGGGAGAGAAGAAAAACTACAGCAAGCCCCTCTCTTCGTCTGCCCCAGTCTGGGTCACAGGGCTCGATGATTCCTTCTCCTCCAGAGGATGATGAAGAAGAAGGTAAGTGGATTGTAGGCTTTGTATACTTCGTGAGAAAGGGCAGTCGGTAAATAACATACTTACGAAACATGTTGAATCCTTTCCAGTCAGAATCTGGCCTACTGATTTTTTTTTTTTCCCTTGCTTTAACGCTGTGAGTATTCGATAACCAGTACCCCTGCATTCCTGGATCAGCCTCTCCCTTGTCTGACACTTCTGTGTCTATGCTTTTCTGAGCCCAGGCCTCATGAAGCCTCCAGTGTGATATATTTGGAACAATGTGAAAAGAGGCTGCTAAAAATTTGGGATTATCATGCAACTTCTACCCCTCCCTAAGCAGCTGTCAACAGACTTGAGGGTAAAAATGAGAAGCTGATATTATTTGGAAATATAACCAAGCAGCATGTTTTAGTGAAGAGGCGAGTATAGACATCTGTAATACATAAAACTATACCAGGACCTGCGCAGCTTGAAACTTGATGCACCTTCAAGATCTTTTTTCTGCTTTTTAAAAATTCTCTTAAACCAGAATACGGACTAGTTCTGAGTATATAAACATCTGGCCTTACCGCTCTGAGCTGAAATGTAGATGACTTGAGTTTCTGCTTTTTCACTTTTTCTGCTGGCCGCCTATATGGCCTTGGGTGAATTGTTATACTTCCATGCGTTAGTTTCCCTTTTGGGGGGGAGTGGGGAGGAGGGGAAGGTTGGTTTGAAAATTAACTGCTTTACAAAGTGTTATTCATGAGCAATCTCTAACCACTATGCTAAATCACAGTGGTATTGTTTTCTAGACCAGGAACTTGTATATGTTTATATATATTTATATATTTTGATATATACATATCAAAATACATAAAACTTGCAACATTGCAAGAGTTTGCTGACAAGTTCAGGTGTCAGCTGAGAAAGCATAGATTTAATGAAAAAGAATGTATTTCCTCAATAATGCAAAAACAATGTTGACTGCTGTATCAGTGAAATGTAGTTTTTGTATATGATACTTGCTGTGAGTGTTTAAAAATATCTGGGAGTACATCAGTATTGGTTTCAAAAAGATTATGCTAATCCTCCCCCTCCACTGCATTTTTGAATGCATTTCATTCAAAAAACTCTTTAATTTAAGCCAAGGAAGTTACCAAAAAGTACTAGCTTTCAAAGCAAAAGTACAAAACAGTTAAAGTCGAATACCTCGTGGACTTTCATGGATCTGCAACAACATGCCAAGTCTGCAGCTGCTCAGTGGAACCACGTTGATTTTGTTGACTTTTTTGCTTTTGTAGTGTTGTAGCTTTTCACATGTAGAAAGTTGTGCTTTCTGAGAACTTTTGTAGTCTTCCAAAAGTTTGGGGTAGAATAACAGAATTACTTCAGTGGGAAGGGACATCTGGAGGTCTGTAATCCTGCCTCCCACTCAGTATGAATCCAGCCAGATAGATTGTTCAAGGCCTTGTCCTGTTGCATTTTGACCATCTCCAGAGGTGAAGTTTCCACAACCTCTCTGGGCCCTTGTATCAGTTTGGCCTCCCTCATGGTAAATTTTTTTCCTGATTTTTAATTAGAATTTCATGTGTTGCTACTTGTCTTCTGTCTCTTGTCACATCACTGCGTGCTTCCGAGAAGAGTCCACTTGTGCCTTCTCTGTGTTGAGCGCACAAGCACTGCATCCACAAATGCAGAGGAATGCTTCTTGCCATACACTGATACAGTTAGGAGAGCAACATTTAAATCTGCAAAGGTAGAGTAATGGCTGATCTCATAGCATCTCCTCTGTTCTGTTGTCAGACAATGATGAACCCCTCTTAAGTGGTTCTGGAGATGTTTCCAAAGAGTGTGCAGAAAAAATTCTTGAGACGTGGGGAGAGCTGCTGTCCAAATGGTAAGTGGCAAAATCACATTCTGAAAATTACAATTCTGAACATTCTCAGTCTGTTTCCTTCTGCTCGGAGTTTTTGTTATTTCCAGAAGCCAGCTGAGATGAGATTAGTATGGATTTAGTCCTCTTTCATCTCCTCTTTCTCTAACTTTGTGTTTTCTAATTTCTTCAGAGGGTGTTTTAAGTATTTTCATTTTTGAGTGCATGCTTAAATACTGTATAGAAATTCATTTACGCTGTGTCTTTAGGTGGTTGTCTCTTAAAATGCGTATTTTACTTATCTGTGAGTTTCACTGGGATTTTGTTAAAGAAAAACCTAAACTAAGTAGTATAAAGAAAATGCAGCACTGCTTTTGTCTTTATTTTGCATAGATCACTTCCATTGCTCTTTGTAATTCTGATGTAGTTCACAGCCAATTTTTCCTGCAGCTGTCATATCTTAGTAACTGTAGCTTAAGAATATGGGAGATTTGTACTTGGATAGCGAAGATGCTTTTCCTCCCTTATCTAAAGGAAGATGGCTCCAGAGCTTGCCAAGAAGGAAGTACATGAGCTCATCTGTTTTTTTCCTAGAAAATGCCAATTTACAAGAAGAGTGTTTCTTGACAGGCGAGTTGCTAATGCAACACCTGTCCTCCTTTCATGAAGGATCTTTTATTCATCTTGAAGTAGCCTGAGCAGTTCTAAGAAAGTGATGCTGATTTTTTTTTTTTCACAAAGGGGGATGACAGGCACAACGTCAGATTTAGCTCAAATATGCTACATTTTGACTCTTGCTTTAGTTGTTGCCTTCTGCTTCCTCATGTTACTGAGGAGCAGGGCAAGGGGTGTACAGCAAATCAAAGATCTGAACAGAATACTAGATCTCAGGAGCAGGACAGAAGAGATTAGAGTAAGTTAGGCACTTTAGATGATGTGACCTCTTAGCCAGGATTCTCTTTAAATTAAGTTTATAACAATTCAACATTATTTTTTATTTTCTGTAATTACTTAGTACTTACTTGAATAAGTACTTTTATTTCCAGTTTGGTTCTGCACTAATATATTGCGCTAATTTGGTAGGACATCAGAAATGGACACATTCGTAAGAAGGGGAAGGCTGTGGTAAAATAATGTATGATTCCTTTTCCCTCCCTCTCCTAGACTTGTACAAACATCTTTAACAGATGAGCTCTATGCATCTGCTGCTGTGAGAAAGTTTCTTTCAACTTGAATTTTTTTGTAAATCTTCCAAGGGCTCAAAGATAATTAAGCCACCTGACTCCCATTGAAAATGTTTTGGCAGCTCTAAGAGGATATGAAGTGCTTCTGTGCTAATGCTGGCATAAACTTTAATATGTGTTAAAGGGCTTTCCTTCTTAACCAAAACCAAGTATTTGGAAGTAATGATCATTGAGCTTTTAACATAAGAGGATTGAAAATCATAAAAATCAGAGTTCAGGTAGTTTCATGCTAGTTTTTTAGAATCCTGTAATTAGATTTGTATAGCAATTAAATATGCATTGGTATTTTGTGATTGCCAAATAATATTTGGTTCATATTTCATAACTGCTGAGTCACACAATTTTCTTGTTTCAAAATAGTTTGGAAGAATCTAGTAGTGTGTGGCTTTTAGTCTACAGCCTTACAGGTCTTGGCTGTATTCATTGGAATTACTGTTGTACTTATTCTGATCTGAGATTAAGGCAAAGCAGTTTTATAGGCCTTTACAAAGAAGTTGATTATTTTGTATATAACAAGTATTTTGTATAAATATTTATACATATTTATGTATTATAAAGGTATAATAAATGCTCTGTAAGTATATGATATATAAGTCTATAGACATGAATGCATATAGATAAAAATGTAACTATTATATAAATATTATTTTTATTATAGTTGATTTTGTTTAGGCAAGGCAAAGTGAAGGAGGATATTATGGTACTAGGTTCTGTGCAATATATACTGGTTTAAATGAATGCATTGCTAGTCTCTAGATTACTGTGGAACACTGTAGGCTGGAGAAGGGCAACAAGGAGTCCCAGTCTGTGTAAAATTATCATCCACGTATCTGTTAGACTGTTAGCAAACATTATTAAATACCAGCTTATTGTTAAGAAGATAACGTGATCGATATGACATAAGTTCAGTTTTTTGCCTGGCTTTGTCTATTAGTCCTCTTAATCATTTTACCTAGAATTGTGTTTTTTAGTAACTGCAGAAAAATTGTAATTTCTTTGATTTAAGACCTGTGTGTCTTTTGGGGATTTTATGTATAAGCCACAAATGGACTGTTCAGCTTAACTTTCTGTAACTGTGTAAATTATATGTAGGTTTAGTTTTTACATTTTACAGTGCTGTAATTTATGAGCTGTCACCAGTCTCACTTGAAAAAATGTTTAGATGGGACTAGCTTGTACAGTGGAAGCTGCTTAAACACATGGATGTAGTTAGATAACCATGTGAGATTTTTCTGTATCTCTGTTTGCCTGCCTTCTCTCCCTCCCTCACCTGGAAGGTTACCTGCCTGCTCGGGTGTAGAAAGTCTAGAGAGCAGTATATGCTTCTTCAAACTAATTCTCATTTTGGTGCAGTTTGAGCTTGGAATCTTACACAGTGTGGTATCTGTCCTCAAGTTCTAGTTTTGCTGGAGTGTTTTGATTCGTTGAGTATTTTGTAACATATGTTTATATTATATTTAAATTTAATGGGAATCAAGGAAATAGTTTGGAAAGTGCTTCTCCAAATCTGTTTTATTTCATAACTTGAATTTCACTTCTCTGGCAACATATGGACTGTCTTGAAATTCTGTCATTTGACATGTTTGCTGTTACACATCAATTGTTGCTCATGTACTCATTTATTTGTATAAATAATAGTAACAATGCTTTCACCTACACCCAGGCACCTCAATTTGAGCGTGAGGCCAAAGACATTGTCAGCGTTGGTGAGAAGTGGTGTCCCTGAGGCCCTAAGAGGAGAAGTGTGGCAGTTGCTGGCAGGGTGTCATAATAACGATCACCTGGTGGAGAAGTACCGAATTCTCATCACAAAGGTAGAATGCTTTTTTTTTCATCTTTTTCCCCCATATCTTAAGGAACAGAAATACAGAGACTTCCAAGTGTGTACCCTCTTGCTTAAAATTTCATGAGTGTATCTGAACATAGTGTGTCGTCTAGTGAGTGTAATTCAGTCCTCTCTCCAACAAAAAACCCCAACATGCAGTGCTAGTTGTGGCATTATCTCTACTTAGAGAGCTTTCTTTTTAATAGTCCTACTTCTGTTTCACTCAGATGAGTTCTGAGTTTGTCGAAAATTGGTATTCTATTAATTGCTTTCATAATTGACAGAGATTCAGGGAGCTCATTTCCTTTGCTTGTTTGGCTTTCCTGAATGAAAGCTGAATTCTGCTGTATTGTCTTAACATTTATGCTAAAAAGCCAGCGCTAGTTGAAATTGCAGCCTTTTTTTGATAGGAAAAAACAGAACACTTCAGACATTTTTGCACTAGACAGCAGTTTTTTAACTTCTCATTTTGAATGCTGACCTCAGTAACATAGGAGAATAACAATTGTATATACAGACATCATTTGGTGTTTCTCAAAGTTCTAGAGTAACAAATGGGTCACAAAATGGAATGTCACTTCCTTATCCAGAAAACCGAAGTGTTAATTTGGATTTGACCATTATCTGTATAGATACTTTTATTTTACTGCTTTCATCAAACATGCAAGTCTAGAAGGACTATATTAGAAAGTATTAATGATGCAACTTTAGTACAAATGTAACAGAAATTAATTATTCACTAGTTAAAAAGGCAAAACAACCTTTGTTGAATCAGCCTTTGTATATCTACGTTCTGATGGTACAGATTTGCAAGGAGCAATTAAAGACCTTATCCTCAGGGCAAGAAGGCTTCTGAAATTAAACTTGGTTTCTGCTATAATCATGCAGGAAGGATCCTACGTGATTTGAATGAATCATGTTAGATTAGCTAAAAATATTCTGCCATAAGTACTTTCACACACTTATTGAATATAGAAGAAACTTGATCTGAATTCCTTAATATTGGTACATGCATTGTAGAGCTATAACTTGGATTTTACAGTGAATAAATCATACAAATAATGTGGAGGTTGAGTGCTCTGGCAAGGAGTATATCACAGTTACTCCTGTTGTGTTATTTTAATTGCCTGGTGAGTAGTTGCCAGTGTCACTTGTTTCTCTGTTTCAGTGTTTTGGTATCAGAATGGAAAAGATTATCTCTTTGTGGCACAGTTGGTGACACATACTGCTACTATCTTTGTGAGCTAGAAAGGAATCATGTAATGTTTCATTTTTAATCTGTGAAACCTTTCTACTCATTTACATTTGGCAGAGACAAAGGAAATAACCTGGATCTAATGTGTTGGAAGCATCTCTAGAATCCAAGTAAAAGGGAGAGTGGGCTGATGCAGCACTGTGTTCTGCAGCAAAAGGACTGGCTATACCTGCACTGGTCATTCAGCATGGAAACTAATTAAGGAATTAAACAATGAAAGAAAATGAGTACTGAATGACCGTTCTCAGGCTCCGCTGTAGTCATGAGAGGTCTGTAGTATAGTACCAGCATACTTAAAATAACCAGCTCAAGCAAATGAAAATGAAGTCTCCCTTAATCTGGAAGTGCCATATTAGACCATTGTTGAGGCTGTTTGCCTTATTGTGACTTAAATGTAAATTGCATGAAAATGGGCCATGACTGTTTCTGTAGAATGGGCAAAGATTGGTGCTTTGAGAGCAAAAGTATCTGGTTTGTTCACAGCGGAACTGTGATTTCTTCAATCTGCAGGCAGTGGAAGAAGCATAAGATTTCAAAAAAGGTTATCAGTGACTGTGTGGAAGTACTAAAGATGAGAATAGGCAAAGAATGCAAAGATTGTTTGGGAGGCTGATGAGAACATGAATTCAAGACCCAGAAAGATAACGTTTGCAGACCCCGTAGCATATAGTATATGCTAACAGTATAATAATGCCGGATTGCGCTTTGGCTTTCATTTTTTTCATGCCTTTCGTAGATTATTTGACAATTTTGTAGTTCTAATGTGACTAATTCTTACTGCTCTGAAAATAGCAGCTCAGTTACAGTCAACATGCAGCAATGCACAGGAGTAAACGTGTCTGGGTTGCTTTACGGTCCTCGTAATGCTTCGACATGTTTTGCATGTCACTAATACAAATTCTTCTTTGGCAAGCGTGCAATTATTTGTATTACCATACATTGAAAATGGTATATCTGAGAATAACTGCTGTGATGTAGCGCAGAAGCACAAGGAGTTGATGTAAAACCTTTGCTCTTCAGTGTAAGTAGGAGATGCAGTAAGCCTGTTTGAGTACTCATAATCCAGTGCCCCTTCTCTCTTAACGTTGACCTCTATTCCTGTAGCTGCATTTGATTTCTGTCAGGCTTTTCATGACCCCATGCGGCAGCACAGTCCCAAATTAATAAGGTTCTGTGTTGACAGCTGCTTCAAAAGCTTCTGGCCTCTTTCAGGGATTTTTTTTTTTTTTTTTTCTTGCAATGCAGGGTGTTGGATGCAGGCGCCCCAGTATTTCTTCTGGTGTTTGTTTTGCTGTGCAGTTCTGGCCCCTGGTGCTTGGCGAATCTGTGTTTTTTGCTTTCTTTTGCAAATTAACTGCTGCAAGGGTAGTTTTTTGCTTATTGTTGATGTGTGGCTACTGAATGATTGAAAAGGAAATGTCTTCTGTTGTGTTCTACCAGTGAAGGCTGTGTCTAGGTCTCTTCTTGAATCTGACATGTGCATTAAAAACGGCATTGAAACCATGCCTCAAGGTGTGCTCATTGTGTTCTAGTCATCGTGACAATATTTATTAATTATTTGCTCCTGATTTCTTTGATAGACGAGCTGGGTTTTTGTACTCTGTGCTTTTGTTATTGCGGTAGTGTCTAAGTTTCACCATTGTGGTGCTTCCACAAATTACTTTTGAGAATTTGCACACCATCTGTGTGCAATAATAAAGCTTTTAGCAACTCCAGATTGCCGTGCTCCTGGTGGGGAGCGTGGATGAAAGCCAGCCCAATGAATTAAGGTCATGTCCCTACTGGGGACAGAAAGCAAACTCTAGGTAAAACGATCTAGACAATCCCTTTGAGAGGCATCTGTTCCTGGTAGGACTTTGGCAATCATGGTTACGGCTGTTAATCTTCAGGCTTCCAGCCACTGAAAGGTAGGAGAAGAGACGTGAGGACTTGCTCCAGGCATTAATGGACACCTGCAGGAAAAATACTTCATGTTTTTGACAGTCATAGGTGGATGGAAAGTATTGGTGAGTAGAAAACTTGTAAAGCTAGCCACACAGGTTAAAAAAAAAAAATCATGATACAAAGAAAAATAGACAATAGCCACTTTTCAGACAAGGTTTTTAAAAAGGATTAATACAACTACTGAATCTCTCGCATCAGTGGCGATCTCTCAGTGGAGAAGTACTTCATAATACCAAAATTTTATGAACTTGACATTTACAGTATTGAGGAGAAAATAAAAGCTTTTGGATATAGCTCTGTGTGGGAGGTAATAATGTCGAAAGGAAAAAAACCATGAACTGTTGTACCAGATAAATACACTATATTAAGAAAATTATGACATGAGAGGGACATCTTGTGGCACAAATAAAAAAAAAAATAATCCAGTGGCAGGAGGAGTATCCTGGGATGTTAACCCAGGGTCACCATTTCTGGTAGAAATTCTAGGCCTCGTAAGAGGTGAATTTGTTCCAGTTTTTCTTAGAGCAGGACTCTTGCTACCCACTTTCTCATCTTCCCACTCTCTTGTCTCCATGAGCAGAGGATTACAGTACACAAAAGTTCTACCAAATATAATTCTCTGTCTTGGTGCAAATGATACTGGTTTTTAATGAAGAAATAGATTAAAATGTCACTACCATTATTTGACTGAATGTGTTGCTTCATCAGTGGCATAAAATGTAACAGTTCTTTAGCTGTGGGTGGCTAACATTTATTTTCCGCTTGTATCACAATCAGATTTCCATACATTCATATAAATTAAGAAGAATACATTTAATTTTCAGGAGTACAAAGGGCCATGATTGTGTATGATCAACTGAAATTAAACCTAACGTACATCTGTGAATCATGGTATAAGAAGTATGACGTAGTCTTGCTGTCGGTGTGCCTGAAACTCTAGATCCCTTGTTTGATTAGTTTTGATCACGTGGTGATAAAAGTTTAATTATCTTTTACAAGCAGTAGTTTTCCCAAGAGTTCTCGTTGTAAGTTTGAATGATTTCTTGAATACTTTTTAATAGTCTTAGATGAGGTTGTATTGTGTCACTGTATAGAGTGGGAGAAGTCTCTACAACACAGAAATATTTTCAGTCTCTCACAGACATCAGCCACCTGAACCACACTTTTTAATGTCACTTAGAAGTGGTTCTTCTCGGTAGGCTGGTTGTGCACTTGACCAGAGAGCTGAGCTGGGGTAGCAGGTAGGTGTATATCCAGCCCAGTTACCTCCCAGTTGCAATTTACACCCTTTGTTGGCCACTTCAGTCTGGCTTCTGGTGCAGGGGTGCTTGAGAGAATTAATTTGAGATACTGCTGGTTTGGACTTGAGTGTGTTAAGCAAGCAGGAGTAAGTTGGCATTAACTTTGAATAGTTATTCCTCTCAGCTTTGGAGAAACAATAGAATGTCAGTTAAAGGAAAAAAACAGATCTGTGTCTTCTAGAGAAATACCTGTAAGCTGTTTAGGAGTTAAGCTTGTACTTGTAATAAAAATCTAAACATTGAGGAGTTTGTGATTTGGTGGCGCATCTTTCGTTTTGAAATTTCAGGAACCAGGTGTTGTTTTGGTCAGTCTCACCATTTCCAATACTACCTTGTTTTTATGTATCTGAGATATATTTAAAGTTCAATGTATGTTTTTCTCTTAAGGATGTTTATAATGTGTCTATTCATGCCTAAGGATCCAGAAATACTATTTGAATCAATTGGTATGTAAATCATTCTCTGCTTTGGAAAGATAGGAGATAATTT